GCGCTGGACACACTTTCGACCGCCTTTTCGTAACGTGGTACGGTACGATAGGGATAGGAGGACCGTTTTCGGAAAGTTCATTTTGGTCCGGATTCTCAACGGGAGAATTTCCAGCGTTTCGTGGTTGCCGACAAGGCGTGTACCATTGTGCATCTCTTGGGGAATCCGAAGTGTTTCTACATGCATGCCCCTCTATGCATACCCGAGGGGGTCGTTTCAAACTCGTGCGATTTGATTTGTCTTTTCGGTGTGCGAAATGCGTGACGCCGTAGTTAATTTCGCTCGCACTGTTCGAGTTGTCAATTTGTTTTCACGGTCTCAAGAGCACCGTGCGGTGCAAGGCGTACTTTGTTGCAGGACGTCACCGTCGTGCCATGTACACTGCAGGGCGGAACCACCCCTTTCAAGTGTGGTGCCGGCAATGTTGCCCAGCCCCGAGAAATTTCATGCATTCTGCGCTAATAACGAAATGGCCCTTATCGGGAATGGGAGCAGATCTGCAAGACACCCCAGGGACGATTTGAGCACGAAAGCGTTGGTTCTCATTTCGCATACATTGTAATACAGCAGTGATACGCACTGTGATAACGTGCATCGCATGCAGAAGACGTGGAATGTGGGCATCGAGCGAATGGCTATGCATACAGTAGGCATCACCAAGAATATCGCATTGAATTCGAACATTGCGGTGCGCGAACATACCTGGCAAACTGCGAGACTAATACCAATAGCGCATGATCACTCCCAGAGCAAAACTTGTAGCAGTGATATATCTCGTGCCAGCGGGCCAGCACGAAGCTGTAAAAACGAAGGCAAACGACAGCAGCAGTAGTGTAGTGGAAAACGCAGGTGTTCAAGCCCGTCGGAGGAGAGCACAACGAGTGAATTACTCCTGCTGCTGTCGCAGGGTTGGCCAAGAAATCTATCTGCTGTTGGGATCACGAATACGGGTCCGGGTGTCAGCTCTGAAGGCCTACTGTATTTGTTATCCTGACCCCCTGTTCATTTGTTTGGAGCGATGGTATGGTCGAAAGTATCGAAGTTTGCTTTGTTTAGTACGCCAATTGCAGGCTATGTGATGCTTCTATCAACAACAGTAGGAGGAATGGTCTGCTGGATGCACAGAAGTCAGAATGTTCTTGATCTCTGGAACAAATGGCAACGTTTGAGAGGACTTCATGAATCCAACGCATGCTGATCAAAGTTCAGTCGAGAACATTCTCATTCAGCCACGGAGAGACTTCTATGATGCATGCGCTCTACGTGATACCGCAACGCTACACGCCGGTGACTGGTGACTGGCGTCATGAATCGACCTCTCATTTCGTTCACTCCGCACCGCCGCTCCGAACAGGAACCTCTTTCGATCCAAAACCTTTCGTGGTATCCCCTCTCATAGCTCCTCTGCGCTGCGCACCCCCCCCGGTCCGTGCCCCTCCGCCCTGCTTGGCCACATAGCCATATCTGATTGATCAAGGACTAGCACCGGTGCCCACAAGCCCTAGATCAATACGGCAGCAAGATTGCAATGGCGGACAACACCGCTGCTTCGCAAGGTGCTGCCCGCTCTGTGACCTTCTTCGCCAGGATGCAGGATCTTCTGACCAATCTCGCGGTCATGATCCTCCTGCTCCTGCCGCAGGCCGCCGCCGTCCGACCGGGGCAGGGGAGCAAGGACTTGGACGGCATGGTTCGTTCTTCTATCTACTCGTGCGCCGACCTGCCGGCCGGCCGCAGTAGCTTCCACGATCTCGTGCTTATTGGGGATGATATCATCTGCGAGCAGACCAAGGTGTGTTCTGCCGCAAGTTTTGCCTGGTCGTTTGCGATTCCAACCGATCCTGTGTGCTTGTGGTTCCCCGATCTTGTGCCTCTCTCGTGCATCGGCGATATCGAGTCCGGCAGTGAGTCCTCCGTGCACCCCCTCAAGATTCCAGAATCCCAGAAACGTCATTCGTATCCACCCAGTATTTCAGGTGTTCATGCCGCTGGTTGCTCGGCGACAAAGACAGTTGCCCAACTGTTGCCCGTAGAGTACACAGCAGTAATCACCCGCCGCCCCAACAAATCTATGTAAAACTGTCGGTCGGAACGCTCTTCGTGCTTGCGGCAGCACGTCTCGGTTTGTGTGCCATGCAAATGGACGCCCTGTGATCGATTGGTCTCAAGGCTCTGTGATTCTGCTGCTGCAGTAGTTCATTCCGCCTAACCTATGGTGGTGTGGGGAGGGATTCTGTCTGCACATCGATCCCGTGTACTACAGTAGCTGTGTTTGATGCGTTTCACGCTTGTGGCCGCTGTAGTTTAATCAATACCTGCATCGTCGCACTTTCGTTTTTTTTGGCCGGTTGTTTCCCACGAGGCCAGTCCTCTACCTGTCACGGAAACCAGTAATACACTACTGTAGGGATCTTGTTTCAATTGGCTTACCAATTACCAGGTTTCATGGACTGCTGAAGCACCGGCCACAACACAAAGAAGTCAACATTGTTAGCGGGTTGACGCCCAACCTTTCGATAGTCGGGAATTCGAACCCAACATCAGACCCACAACTGCCCAGACAACCCCTGTAGCACTTCTCAAGAGCAAACAAGCTGTGTAGGAGCGTGGCTAAAAATAACGAATTTCAAGTGTCGCCCTGCTATTAATCGAACTTTACACACCCGAGTAAGTAAGGTGAACTCTGTTAACTGATGGTACTGCTGTCAGGTGATCGAGGTGACCAAGGGAGAGCAGGAGGCCCAGTTCATCGGCGCGCCTGCCGTTCGAATCAAGGGTGTCCACTTCGAGATTCGTGAGGGAGCGAGCATGTACTTTGGCGGCGCAGCATGCGTCTTCGAACGGAACGAAGTATGCTGTGACTCTTCCTTGCTCATCTTGTTTTGTAGTCTAGGAAATCCTTCGAAAGTATCGCTCGGATGTCTTGCCTGCATTGATCCCAACACTGGGTCTGCCATTGGTTCTGGACAGCTACAGCAGTACACCGTACTGGACGTTTACGAAACAGCAAATTGCTCAAACGTACGCACACTCGAGATAGGCATAGACTAAGGTGACACGCAGTTTACCCCAGCGGCCCAGTCCTCGGCTTGGTGCGGAAGTGCTTCTCGGAATCGTGCATAGGAAGAGATGTTCCTTGCGATAGATCTGGCGACTGGATGGGAGCCTTTTTCCTTCGTCGACACGGAATAGCAAGCGCCCGTCCCAGCCGACCCTCCCTTTTCTACTATCGCATGCTCATTTTTCCATGTTCTCCCCACGCTTTCGTCGGTGTTGATATCGCCCCTGCCATATTCTGGTAGGGGGAAACGGAAGGAATCTTTAATGTGGACGGCAACATCACGTTCCACGCGGACAACCCGAAGTACACGCTGACGGGGGGCACAACGGTGGGTCGTTGTTGTTGTTGTTGTTGTTGTTGTTGTTGTTGTTGTTGTTGTTGTTGTTGTTGTTGTTGTTGTTGTTGTTGTTGTTGTTGTTGTTGTTGTTGGTGGTGGTGGTGGTGGTGGTGTGTGGCAAGCGTAGGTGGTTTCTGCTTCTGCGGCTGCTGGAGCTGCAAATATGTTACCTGTTATCAGCTGTCTCATGTGGGTGAGGGCAACAATTATTCATGGAGGAGGCCGTAGCGGTTCTAGAGTCTCCATACTACGCCCTGTTAGATGGTAGGCAAGACCAGGTTTTGAGTCAAGATCAATACTTCCTGGGCGGAGCGCCGGCATGTAATACTTTCGACTACTTTCGCCACGATCTATTCTTGACATCCTGCGCATACTTGCTTGCGCAACGTTGTTTGCTACTGTTGTCCTTCGCCCTACCTCGATCGTCTGGTGGCATGGTACCTATTATCAGGAGACCGTGTGCGTCCTTCGCTAACCCCGGAAACAGGATCCATATTTCTGTCCACCACGAAAGCCTGACTACAACGTACGATAGTATCATCAAAAGTGGCTATTGGAGAGATGCACAGAGTGTTGACGAAGGTGGCGACTCCGTTCATCGCGTCACATCACAGGAAGCTGAAGTTGCCATGCTCGTTGGATAGATGTTGTTTGTTTTCCTTGTTTCTCGCATTCGCTTGACCAAGGGATGTTCCCCTTCATCACCCCGTCGGTTTTCATCTGAAACCTAACCAATCTTTGTTTAACGCACGCCAGAACCAAACCACACCCTGTTGTTTCCAATTCTTATTTCAGTTTCTCCTTCCACTAGCACCCCCACCGTCTGTGCGCCACGCCTCACCCGGTCGTGATTCCGCATTGACCAACACCCCAACACAGGAAGAAGATCTGCACTCCGTGATCCGCGCTGGGCAAGAATCCAACATCGAAACCACTGGTGGGTCCTTTGTATACTTCAACGAGTATTCAGTATCGGTCGTCTCGGAACCAATGAAGGTTCTCCACAAGGTCATCGCCGACTCCAACGGGACGGACGACGACAACATCGACACCACTGATTTCCACGACAAGAGGGAGGATCAATACCAGGACCAGCAACAGCAACAGCAGCAACAACAACCAGAGCAGCAGCAGCAGCAGCAGCAGCAGCAGCAGCGAGAATCAGAGCAGCAGCAGCGAGAATCGGAGCAGCAGCAGCAGCAGCGAGAATCGGAGCAGCGCCAGCAGCAGCAGCAGCGGCAGGGGCAGAGCCAGGTGCCCGAGCACCAGCACGCCCAGAGCGAGAACGAGGCGCCCCTCACCCCCACCGAGGTTTCCACCTCGACCACGGGTGCTCAAGATCTCGCCAACACAAATCCCGCGTTTGTTTCAGTATCAAACACTGACACAATCAACGACGACGACAAAAACCTTTCCGACGAGGGGGACGGGCAACACGCCCAGGAGAACCAGCAGCAGCAGCAGGAGCAGCAGCAACGGCAGCAGCAGCAACGGCAGCAGCACGAGCAGAAGCAAGAGCTCAAGCAGGGGAAGCAGCACGAGCAGATGCACGAGGAGAAGCAGGGGCAGCAACAAGAGCCCGCGCGCCAGCTGAAGCAAGACATGCAGAAGGAGCAGCAGCCGCGGCAAGTCGACAACAACCCGCCCCTCGACTCCGCCAAAGCCCCCCCTTCGCGTCCGACCATTGAGACTGACGAACAGGCCAATAGCATGCCCCGCGCTAGCACAAACAAGGCCATCGACGAAGACATCAAGACACCCCGCAACCCCAGCCCCAGCCGCGATACCCACCCCGACCGTGAAGCCATCCCCGAGACCAACCCCAGCACAACGACCAAGAGGCGTCTTTCCACTGACGCCGAGCTGCACAAACTACCCGAGGCGGTCGTGTCCTCGTGCGACCAGCTCCACTCGCCATTGATGGCTGCCTACGGCGTTGTGCGCGTGACGGGCGATATCATCTGCGAAGAAAAGCGGGTAAGCTATTGTTGAGAATTTGTTTGAGAGTCTGGCATATTTGGTATCCTTCTACTGTTTCTCTCCTCTATCGTTGCGTGGTGAAGTCTCTACTGTAAGTGCATGAGCCAAATCTCTGTTCCTGATCTGCATGTATCTTTCGATCTGTCTCGGCTCTCTCTCGACCGCTTCCTACCGTGCACCATGCGTTTACTGTACGATATGTTGCATGCGACAAACACCGGTGGAATTGTTGTTTTCTTTGCACAACATCAGGTCTGCTGCTATCGTAGCCATTCAACTGTTGGATAGATGCCCTAACACTTTGAAGTATAATCAATCGAGACGTAGCTCTCCTGCCTCGCCGCTAGCGGCGGCAACTGGTTTCGGACAACGCTATCATCGCCTCTGGGCACTCCATAGCAGGGGATACTACGCACCTCCCTCATTGGTACATGGGCGAATGTCTTGAGTCATATTCAATGAGAAAGGTGCCGCGAGCGCATACGGGCGAAAAGAATTGCTGGTACGAACGCAACAATAGTATCAATATCAGCCTTACGACCCTCACCACCACAACCAACAGCGGCAACTCGGCAGGACCAACACCACCACCACCAACAACAAAAGGAACAACTCGGAGCATGGTGATCGTTCTGTCTAACTCCCTCCCCATCCCTCCGTTTTGCAATTTTCCTCGGTCTGTAACGACAACCCCCAACTCCAGGTAATCCAGGTCAAGGAAGAGGCGATACTCATCACTGAGAAACCTAACCTAGTCACCAAGGGCGTGCACTTCCGCGTTCGCAAGGACGCCGCCTTGAGGATCAGCGTTCGGCAGATGTCGATCGAAAACATCAAGGTCTGTCTTTCTCCGTGCCCCTCTCCACCATCACACGTTCTCATCGATTGTCGCTGACCGTCACAGTCACTGGCTGTTGCAATAATGTGCAAATTGTATCACTCCCGGGGGTGGTCCTGCGATGGGCGCGGCAGGTCCGAGAAGGAAGACTTTTCGGCGTCTCCAAAAACCAATGCTACGGTGCCAACTTCGGTGGCCTTTTCCCGTGCTTTTGGTGGTCCGGCGCATGTGTTCGCACCGTTTTACCACAGTGACCTCAACGTTAGCTGTCTACCCTCCATCCGACTACCGTCACACGCACGCGTAACCTCGGTGGGGCAGGGTCATGCGAAGAGATAACCTCCCGTGAGCGGCCCACACGGCTTCACGTGTGAAGGAAAATGTGTATTTTTTCTATCGTCTTTGTTTTGTCTACTCCCTCACTCCCTCCGCTGAAGGGCTGCGATCCAGGGTCAAGCGAGACAGGCCTCTCCCATGAATCACCAGTTCTGCAGTTTGTGGGTTGAGAATTAAGTTCCACGTGGTGAACCTTGTTGCCGCCCCAAACAGTGGGAAAGTGCGCACTCAATGTGTCCACTCGTAACAGGTCATGATAAGGCCATTGACCGCAGTTGGCGCAAAGCTGATGTTACCCGCGACAAGCCTAGGCACCACACCCTGCTAGGTTGATGGAGAAATCCCAGCCTCGTCAGTGTATGTATTTGACCGAGAGCTTGGCTGCGTCGTCGCCGTTGTTTCTGGTGTGCAGGGGGACACCAGCCCGCTCTTGAGGGTCGACCCGGGAGGGCTTCTGCGCCTGGAAATCCACGACTTCGGCACGCCGCCGGAAGGTGGTACCATGGTGAGTCAATGTTTTGCTGCTGCTGTTGTTGAGGTTGTTGCTGGTAGCGCCGCTGCGAACGTCTTCTTGAGCAGAGTGAGCATACCCCCTTTGCGTGGTCCTTAAATCTTCACCTCCTCTCCTTCGGTCGACCCTCTCCTTCCACGGTGTAAGTTCTAATTGAGGTCAACTATCAGCCTTGACCGGTAGAACAACAAAGAGCGCACGACAATATTTTCCTCGTTTTCCAGCGTGTTGCGAGAAACCTAACGTTCAACGTCAACCTTGGTGCTCGAACGAAGCAATACTCTTGGATCCTTTCAGAATTTAGAGCGACCCAATCTGCGGACAAAGTCCCACGAATTGTTGCTCCGAAACCGAGGGTGCAGATGTTCCACTGTTTGTCGGACCCCAGCATCATGCACAAATCTGAAAGCAGACTATGTTTCGTGAATGCCGCTGTGGTAAGGCCGACCCTTTCGGGGTTGCTACGATTCAGATATTGGAGATACGGTACATAGCCGACGATTGTACTTGCCCGCCTGGACGTACCGCTCGTTAGACTTGGTGAAACGAGTTGGGCTCCGCGTGCACAGCAGTGATGACACCGAACAATTGGGTAAAACATGCGCCAAGGGAATCTATCGCTAACCCGCAACGACGGAAAGACTGCGAGTCTCTCCCCCTCCCTACGGCCCACCTCACCACAAGGCACCTCTCACTCTTCGCCCTGCTCCCCTCTTCCTCTCGTGTGTGACCTACAACAGACGGACACCAACTCCCGGGTGCGCATAGAGGAGGGAGGGGAGGTTCAAGTCTGGGGGGAGCCCTGGTTCACCAAGTCCGCCATCACCCTCATGAAACCCTTCAAGAAGGAGCCCTCCTGGATCTTGAACAACATGCGCCGGAACCATGCGCATTGGCAGCGGCAGCGGTGGAACCGACAGCAGCAGCAGAAGATGACCGGCGGCCAGCACGCCGGCGGTGGGACCACCGGCAAGCCGCAGCCTCCGTTCTGCTCGCCCTTCGGCCCGAAAATCTCGGAGGGGTACAGTTTCTGGGAGCGCTTTGATATCAGCCCGTCATACCTCAAGGTCAGGAAGGGGCGGTGATTGCCATATCGTGAGTAGACCTTTCAAGAACAAGCTGTGTAGGTCGTGCGGCCCGGAACAGAGGGGTCGAAATGGAACAAGGAATTGAACGTATGCTGTTGCTGGGCGGGGGTTCGACGTACCTAGGAAAGAACGATAAACTTGGAGTCTCTTGCAATACATGTGGGCAAGTGTTGAGTGCAGATGCCGTACGGGCTGGGGTCAGCTATATTTCATTCTGTTCAATTGAATCTGCATCATGGCATGAAACAATCCTGATCGCCTCGAATATTTGGTAACCTTCCCGTAGACGTTTGCGCTTTCCTTGGTCCAGCAGAGCTAGTCTTTGTAATTGTCCCAATCTCCGATCCTCTGCCGTTCTATATGGCTGACATGATTGTCGTCGTTGGTTCTATTCTGTTTCCATCCAGAACTCGGCCCGCACGCGACTTTCAAGGTCTCGGGTTCGGTCCTCTATCTTGTCCGTTTCTGACGCACTCCATCATGCCAAGTTTCCCTTTCTTCGTCGTCTATTTCCGACGTAGGTCATCCTGACGTGTTCCGCCCATGGCCGTTTCATGTTTTCAAGGTGGGCGAGGAGCTTCGTTATCCGTCATCGATGACGAGCCTAATGGATGGCAGCGTCCTTTCAATGGGAGCAGACGGCACCCTTCTGCATGCCACCGCGGACAGACGGACTCATTTCCACCTGGAAATGAAGACGGCAGTGGAGGCCGCCGAGGCAGCCAGCGACCTGGAAGAGCACGCGAGGAAGACAAAGTCTGTTCCCGACATCACCGCAGACGGCGTCGACCCCGACAACAAGCGCTTGCAGCTCCAGACGCTTGTCGCAGCTGACCCCGCTAAAGCCATGGCCGCACTCATGGGCCGCCCAGGGACAACGGTCGGCGGGGGACCGACGTGGGCTGCCGACGAAGAGTTCGATGCGACCCTCCGCAGGGAATGGTCTCGTATGAGGGACACACTGCTTGGACGCACGGCCAACGGACAGGCAGAGGAGAAGAAAGGCGGTCTCGGACAGTCCCCACCGACGAAGACCGATGAGGCCGATGGGAGTGGTGACAATGGTGACCCCCGACAACACAAAGAGACAGGTGCGACCCGCGCACACGGTATTGAATTTGTAAGGGGGGTCCCGGGCGGGCCTTCGTATCGATCTGTTACAATTTCTTGAAGGGGGAGAGGAACTCGCCCGTGCGCCCTCGCCGTTGGCACTATGAGCTGGCCAGCAGGCATGTGTAGCCAAGAGTATGTAGTATGGCTTTGTATGTGTCAAATGGTGGGCGTCGTTTGTCACCTTCCCATCGGTCGCTTTTGTCAACGTTTGGTGTTGTGTTTGTTGTTCAGAATCACGGTCGTGACTGATTCCCGCTCGAAAAAAAATATGCTTTGTGCACGACAACAACTGGCCAGCAAGAAGAAGTATAGAACTGCTTTTTGGTCAGAGAACCTTGGTTGAGGAGTGTTGAGAGCTTGGGCCAAGGCGTAGGAAGGGGAGAGGATGTTTCGCCATTCTAGCATTGCGGAAAAACCTGGTCCATACCATTGTCATGCGGCTGCATCAATACAAACAACAACATGGCGAGCAGTGAAGTAGGCATTGGGTCATCGGCCTGTAGCAGGTACACGCACCACATTGACGAGCTCGTTCAAGGCAATGACGTCACTCCATTTCTTACGTCCGATTATCAGGAGGAGTCACCGGCGGAACATCGTCGAAGAAGGAGACAGGCAACGCAGCTGACAATGGGCTAACCGACCCAGACATCAACAACACCGGAAACACTTGCGGCAGAGCCAGCCGTAGGCGAATGCCGTGGGGCCGTAAGCGAATGAAGTGGAACGCTGAGGTCGCCGTCGACAGCGACGGACCGCTACCGTACTGGGGGGATGGCACGGTGCTAAAGGTCACCGAGACCGGTGACGTGGTGAGTGAGAAAGAGGGGGCGAGGGATTGATGGGGCATCTATTGGAATGGCTATACCAGCAGTCCGAAAACAATGGCAGAAACAACACCCTGGCGCAGGTAGAAGTGGTTGGTAAGTCAGGTCGATATTGTAGTGCACGCAGTTGTCTGTGGCAGCAGGAGAGCTGGCCTTGGAGAGTACAAAGCAAAGCAAGTCGAGTTTTATGGCCGAGCCTGACACCACGTCATTGCCGTCCCGTCAATCCCTTTGGATCGGCCATCGCGCACGTCACCCTCACCAGTAAATAGTAAAGAGTCAAAGTTTCTCGTTCCCATACCTTCGACCGTAGAATATCGCCACTTGTATGGTGCGGCAGGCGATTGCATGGGCGGCCGCGAGCCTGAATCATAGCCCAGACTGCGGTGAAACTCAACAAAATCTTGACCTGCTCCCTGCCACCATTCGTCTCAACTAGAACCCTTCAGTGCCGTCCGGGGAAATGAGCGATGTCGGTCCATTGTTGGTCGGTGATTCTGTACCCCGTTGCTACCTTTGCTTTTCAACCGGCCGTTTCCGTTGAGAAGTCACGAATATGGTGTCGCAGACACTAATCCCCGTTCTGGGCATGTGACTAAAGCGGGTCATTGGTTCTTGCCCTCGACAATAGCCCATGACTAGCACGATGAAGCGTGAGGTGTTATGCAGATCGGATTCCTGTCCAACACGACAACGCCATGCCGAGCTCTACCGAACGGAAATGTTGATAAGCGGTGTTTGTTTGTATTGCTCTTTCATCTTGCCCAGAATATTGAAAACAACCTGGACGATTTGTGACGTGATTTGCCTTGGTTGTCGTCCACCGCATGGTTACCCTATCGCAAGCAGGTGGTAAGCATCGCGGGGGAAATCGTGATTGAGATGGCCAATCCGCGCAAGGCGAAGAAGGGAGGCTGGTTCAGAAACCACGTTCGGAAGCATAACCCGATCAGGAAGGTTGGGGATGCCTTTCGTCGCCACCTCCACAGCCGACGAAAGGGTAGCAGCAACAGCGACCCCTCCGACAGCGTCCACGACACCGACACCATCGTCAGCACCGACTACTCTCTCCACGTGGTGGAGAAGGGTTTCGAAGTCCGATTAGAGGGGGAGTTCGTGTGGGGATGGTACACCGATTCAATCGGACGCCCGCTATAGTTTGCCACCAGTGAGTGTTCGTTGCATGTTGCATTTCTCGCCTCACACTCGTATTGTTCGAGAAATTCCCTTGGTTTTCCAACCCGAACACCGGAGGGAAGTTAGCCTTGAGGGTAGGCTGCCCTCAATGTTTCTTGCCGCCTTTTAATCGGAGTGTATTTTATCGTTGTTCCGAATGACGCAAGCTCGAAAATGATTACCTCGATGTTTTCGAGAGGTCGTACATTCTGTGAGACAGACACGATTTTGCTGGGAATGGTTGGGGTGGTGTGGCCCTGGATCGTAGCGGTAGTGGAGAAGGCAAACGCATGGTGGGTGTACTGGGAAATACCGTAGCATAGTACCGTGGGAGTGAAGCCAGATGTCGCAAAAACATACGACAACATCCCCGGTGATGCTGGGGCCGAGGAATGAATACGGACATCCGCATTCGACAGGTCAGCTGTTGCTACTCTGGTGGGCATCTATATCCTTCAAACGCGTGTTATTGTTACTGCGTCGCTGCTAATGTACCTGGCAGCATGGGTGGCAATATCGCGCACCCATGTTTCAGCGGCTCGGCATCTTTGCATTCGTTGACAAACGAGATACGCCATTGTTAGGTGGTATGATGAGCTACGACGAGGATAGCTTCTTGAGATAATGCATTGTTCAATTCTTGGATGGTAGCCAATAACGAAGGATTCTTTATTCCCTGCGGAAGGAAGATTATTGGGCATGTATCGGGTCCAAATAGAGTCAACTCGACACCCTCCAACGAGACGCTAACACGCAACCATTTCCATCCATCCGCCTTGGCCAAAGCCGTTGTTTGGCGGGAACTCCACAAGGCGCCCATGTGGGTCTTGTATTGGCGTCGACGAGACACTTTTCGGCGAACCCACCTTCCATGATAGTATGAAAATTGTACAAGAATATAGTTGGGTACACAAAAGCACCGTTCGCTGCACGTACGGTCTCCCGCACTTTCTACAGTTTTCCCAAGCGACCCATGTGCCGCGTATGGGCCCCCGTTAGGCCCATGGGCAGTCAATGGGTCACCCATGGGTCGCCCATGGGTGTGCCCATGCCCATGAGCATGGGCATGCGCGTGGGCAGCCTATATGGGCTGCCCATGAGCGTGCCCATGGGTACCCCATGGGCGGGCGGCCCATGGGCGGCCAATGAGAGCCCTTCACCCAACCAGTGTACTCCTAAGCAATAGATTATCTGCTTTGCAACGGGCACTATAGCGGCAAATAACCCTAACGCTAACCGTAACCCCAACCCCAAGCCCACACGATACGTGCTAGGTTGGCGCTGGTGGCTAAGTTCTAGGTTGGCGTGAAGGTGGCTAACTCCTAGGTCGATATCCCGGTGGCGAAGTTCTAGGTTGAAGTGCCCACGGTAGGCACTTCATGGGCCGCCCATGGGCCGCTCATGGGGATGCCCATGGGTGGGCCATGAAGTGCCCATGGGCGGCCCATGGGTGACCCATGGGTGTCCCATGGACGGTTCAAGAAAACGGTCGGTCAGTAGTGTGGGAGGTTGTGCACGTTTATACCCCAAGAGTTTGTGCGTACGCCCTTTCTTCACGAGGGCTGGGGTCCGATCCCAAGCATCCTCGTTTCCGTTCTCTATTTTTCTTCAAAAATGTTGGGGAGTACCCCCACGCTTTCACGTTTTTTTTTTTTCCTAGGCCGTCTTGGTCGTGGGGATCAGGGGGACGTATATTTGTTGGACGTTATAGGGACTAAAACCAAAAGTTTTGGCCAACCATAAAAGGATCCCGGCCAAACCGTATTTCCCTGTAATTTTGCCCACGATGGGCGGCCCACTGGTATGCAAAACATGTTCACCATGGTGGGCTGTGCCCGACGATGGGCTGCACATGTTGGGGTGCCCATGGGCATTGTAGGCTTGCCCGTTGGGCATGACCATGGGCGGCCCGTCATGGCCAAGAATGCAGCAACATGGGCGGGCGGATGATCAAAACTCCGAAAGTGTGGGGAGACCCATAGCAGGGGGAAGGGCGCGCGTCAACATGAACAAAAGGAAACAAACGTGATCCGTCTCGTGGACAGTGGACTTCCGAACACTTACCCGTCCGTGGACATGTCCATGGACATGCCCATGGAAATCCCCACGGACAACGCCCATGGACATCCACGGACGGACGTGTCCATGAAAAGGTCAAGTAATGTACATAACCCCATGAACCCTGCATATCCTCCATGCTCTTCCTCTCGTGCGCCGGTCAGAGGGCGGCGACCTGCGGCAGGAGCAGGAGGATCATGATGACCGCCAGATTCGTGAGAGAATCCTTGATCCTGGGGAACAAGGTCGCAGGGCGGGCAGCACCGTGCGAAGCAGCGGTGGAGTCCGCCATGGAGATCCTGTTACTGTTTTGATCTAGGGCTTGTCGGCACGGGTCCTACAGCAGTAGTCCTTGATCAAGTGATTGCTATGGGACCAGTGGCTCAGGACGGACATACACGGGCGAAGGGCGGTCCGATAAAGGCTGGGGGGTGCGCGGAGGAGAATCGGGAAGGATACCCGGAACGGTTTGGATCGGGAAGTGTTCCTCTTCGGACGACCCGATGAGGAAATGCGCACGACGAACGACGAACCAAACGAACAACAAATCATGAAAAAAATATAACGGCCGTCGTTACCTTCGTATTTTGAGGTTGTGTGAACTTGATTCAGTCGACTTACATACTTCGCGCAGTCCACGTGGTGAGTAAACGGTGAGCAAACCTGGCCCAAAAGGTACTGTAGTGACAACAAGAGTTAAACAAATCAACTGCGAGAGTATCTCTAATCTAAGCAAGGGGCAGCGGGCGTACTCCCTCCAGATTTCTCTTGCGCAAATGGGATGCCTAGTCTATGCGGCGAGATTTTCTGACACGGACGAAACAGCGAAGCAGGCAGGCTGTACAGCAGCAGTTCATCATGGAAAGCACATACTTAGAGAGCGGGTCCCCAAAGAGTGGGCTAATGAGGGCACAGGTCGTCAAGGGGTGATGCAAGATGAAAGAAAAGCCGGCTGGAGATGATACCACACAAGGCGGTCAAGAAATATGGCTGCACAAGGCTGCATGTTGTATAGTGCTCAGAGTAGATCTTTTAGAGTGGAATTTTTGTACTCCAACCTTGAACGAGCGTGCCATATGTAGACTGTGTACGTAGCCATAATGTACACACTACATGTACTGTACTTTGAGACGATAGGCCCGACAACAAAGACGCTGGAATCCCCCGCGTATTCTTATCCCGTACCCAGATCATTAATGAAGTCTAAGTAGACTGAGTATTGGATTTGGTTGGGTGAGCCCCCCTGTGCCGGTCTGTGGTCCCGCCCAGTGCTTTCTTGTTAATTATCCGCTGCTCCACATCTTAGTTTTTGACCACCCACGCCTCTAAGCCAGGTCTCGCCCACCCAAACTTTCTTTATTTTCCGCGGCGAGCACACGCAGAGAAATCGCACGTGAAGTCAGCCGACAACGGTAATGCGTTTGAGTCTGCGTACCGCTCGCTACGGCTCCTCTTGGAACCCGTTGCCCCTACACTAGTAGTGGCGCCAACATAGCGCTGCGCAACGCTCTCAGTACGCCACCTGGTAATTTTCATGATAGCGTCCATCGCCGTTCCGTCAAGCGACTGTGCAACAGAACCTCCGACCCGGAACGAGTGCATAGTGCATAGCGGTATGGAAGTCCCGCCGCTCGCAAATGCCCTTGCCGGGCAGCCGTCATCTGAGCCGCCGTAAGCGGAGCGCAGCCCCGAGTTCCGTCCGGCAGGACGGTCAGAAATAGGTGCCCTCGGGACAGATTCTAGCCAATACGCTCCTCCGCACTGGTGTATACCGTAACATTGCTCACCGCGCAAATAGACGGGCAGGCGACGTCCGGACCCACTACGACAGCATCGACAGAGTCGCCGAGGGTCATACCAAACTGGAAGTTGAAAATCAGACCCTCCCCCACCGGCAACCGCAGAACTTGCGACCCCATAGTGAAGGAGGGATCGTGGCCCCGCCGCATGGAGGCGAACGCCAGCGAAAAAAAGGCGACGTCCCTGGTAAGGTCAATGCGTACCGCCAAAGAAGATGCAGTTTGCGCACGAGAGCGCATGCCCCTCATCAAATCGATGAGGACGTGCGGCAACAAAGCCTCTACCTGGTTGACAGCGACACCCACACGTTTTAATCCCTCCCCCGTGAAGACGAGGTAGGAGTCGACGAGAGGACTACGACAAGGGTTGCCCAACTGTTTGACAGCTGTATTTTCCCAACTGTTCCTGCATCGCCATCGTCACCTTGGACACGATCCCTTTCTGCATGGACGAGGCGGCATACCGCTTAGCACATGGCGAGTTTGGAAGGCAATCATGGCCGTGGTTCGTGCCGACACCAGGACATGCCCTGTCGTGCACCCACTTGGTACCACCGCCTTGTGTGTCCAAGAAGCAAAGATAGTCGAACACGTCTTGGTCCGAGGCCTGCTTCCAACCCCGCCGTTGATAGGTCGACGAAAGCATGAAAGCGTCAAACTCGTCCGCCACTGCGCATTTGCGCTGTTGAGCTCGACGGTTGGACACGGCCGAGAGGACCTGGTCGCCATGAGCACGCAACACGTCGAAATCGATCGACACCAGAGCCGGGACCGGACGCCCGCGGGCAGCCTGGACACCGCAGGACCAACAACAGTTGAAATGTCCCACGTTTCCGTCCGGCATGACGAACGCGCTACAAACCGGACACAGCTGCCAGGAGGCAGGGCGGGGACCTGTTGTACCAAGCGCAAGCCATCCACAAGTCAAAGGGGGAAACTGGGCAAGATGGACGAGTGCTGTATCCTGCAGTAACAAGGTTATCCGGAGTCATTTTTTCTGTTTAGAAAGGCAGCACCTAAGGACAAGAAGCAAAATCAACCTCGTAAGCTACCACGGACCACCGCGGACACCTCCACTCTTTCAGGGACCCGTCTGGACAAGGCCATTGAAAATTTCCCCCCGCATTAATCGGGGATATCAACCGCGACCGCACCTCCTGCTTGCTGCACCCGAGAGAACCAGTAAGACTTACAACCCGGCACGACAACAACGGCATGCGCGTGGCACTCCGCAAGGTGTTGCACTACGTGGCCCGCCATCACCGAACGCTCGATTCAGGGTACCTGGGCACAATGACACGTCTTGGGCGAAGACACCTACACCCGCTGACCCGGCAGGGCAACGTCTGGCCCCGGGATACGCTGAGCCGGAGCATCGGAGGCCGTGAGGTCGATAATAACCGGCCCCATGTCCTCCCAGCGTGCCTGAAAGGCCGCTGGGTTTAGCCCTCACGCGAGGGGCGAGAGATATCATTAGCGACGACATTGGCAGCCAACGGGGCCCGTTTGACAGCATAGTTCGCACTCGACCTATAGCTCAAACAAACGAACAAGAAGCGCATGCGTTTCCGGGTCGCGCGCCCGCCCCGTGTTGAACGATCCACATATCGCGATGTTGTCCACGTCGATGAACACGTGCGCTCGCTGCAAGTTAGTCGGAAAACGAACACAGAAGAGGCGCAACAAGTGTACAACGCAAACATCTCCTTCTTGTTGATATGTTTGGGTAGCCAATCGTCGGGGAACACGCAACCAGCGCGGTATGGGCTCCCCCAATGTTGATCCGTCGAGATTGACGATGAGGTGGCTCGCTCGCTGCCAAGGCCCTTCGTGCGAAGAGGCCGTCAGCGACAGGCAATTCTGGAACTCTTGCCGTAGATCCGCGTAAGCATCACGTGTCAATCGACCTGACGCTGGTTGGTTTTGTCCATCGCGGAAAGAACGGCAAACATGGCATGCGTCCAAACCGACGCCGGTAGGATCGCCATGGTCATGCTCATGCACTTGCCCGCAACGCGCCGCAGCGTTCGGTAGGACACGCATCCATCGGCCAGGGCTGTTCGCAGCAAGTCACGCAGCTTGTCCAGATTCTCTTGGGGATCCGGAAGGTCATCGTCTCCGAATCGCAGATGATGCAGAGGTATTGTAGAGCCGTGACCGGTCGAAGCTCGCACTTCTTGAGTGACAGGAACTGTCTGCAGAAGAGCGAGGTCAGCATGGCGACGTGGGTCGCTTCCCCGGCGGCCAACCACTGATCTCGCGCCAGCAGACCATATGTTGCCAGGAAATTTCTCCGCCAAAAGTAATCGAGGTATGCTAGAGAAGGGGCGCCCTTGGAACGCTGAAATGCCGCCTTCGCTTCGCTGAGGGTATGGTAGACGTACGGGCTGAGGCTAAGAGGACGCACCAGCAGTAGTCGACACCCTTGTAGGATTAACCGAAGAGAGGCTAGGACGATGGCTGCAGGAGAATATTATTTGAACGCGGAGGAGTCATCGGGTGACGTCATGTAGCATCCCGACGACGCGATGCTAGCCACGCGCGCTACCGTGTCCATGGGGAGAGGTATTGTTCGTGTGCAGCTATTGAGCGGTCGAGCATCGTAGATAAAAGCGGATTGGACGTCTCCACCAACTAAGCCATGATCATGCGAGGACGCACCGGACCTGTGGGGCTCTTGACGTCAGCCCACTGTGAAATGCAGCCTCTGGCCAGCAAGGATTGCATTTCGGCGTCGACAAAGCTATCAAATTCCGGCAGCCAACGGTGGTTGGAGAAAACTCGCTGCGGGAAATGATCAACATTGTAGGGGAGAGACGGCGATGCGCCTCTGAATTTGGGAAGCAGAAGGTCGTAAAGGTCGACTCCATCCTGGATGTACGAAGTCAAGGTATCCCGTGAGGAGTGATCACGGAGGATGTGGTCCTCCCAGAAACCAGCATGGGCTCGCACGAAGCCCGTGATGAAACCCTTGGAATCCCACACGGGAGCCTGCCATGGCAAGCGGCATAGGTCGCCTTCCATCGGGTCCCGCCTGACCTCATCCAAGGTAGGAAACCGGCCTGAGGCCGCTGGAAAGGCGCCCACTTGCGCCCACTCCGACTCATCTGGCGGCAACAGGGGGGCCGGAGGCATGATTCACTCCACACTTTTGTGGCGGAGGTCACGGGTCCGCAGCCATTCGTTGGCTGCAACCTACCCGCGAGCCAAGTGTAAAGAACGGTTCGGAGTGGGGCGACGCAGACAACAATTTCGAGGCCAAACCGTGGAGTGTCAATGAGAACAATGTGGGCCATTGGACATGCGACAGATGCCCCAGAGTAGAGGGGGGCGGGGGGGGATACAGCGATCGAGCCCCCCCCCTTGTTTTTTTTTGTTTTGTTTTGGGACAGGAAGCCTGAGTTTGGGTGGGGCGAGGCCCAGCTCAGAGGCTTGTGTGATCAAAGTAATATATTGTAGATCAGACAATCAACAGGAAAGTAATGGGCGGGACCACAGCCTTGTGCAGGAGGCCTCACCCAACCAAATTCAATACTTACATTGAATGATTCTAGGGGAGGGACAAGCATACAACAGTAATTGGCTCTCCGAAGTTGGTTGTCCCCAGCAGTCCGGACGATCGCTCCACGATCGCTCCTCACACTCGAACGCCGGCAACGACATTGCTGCTGCTTCTACTGCCGTTGTTCCGGCGTTCCCCTCAGAAAAAAAAAATACAAACGGATAGACGGTCTCCCCGTTCGAGATACGTACTGTACGTATGTACTGAAATATTGCTATTGTGCTGTCTGTGCCAGCTTTTCTCTCCACAGCAGGGAACAACATCAGGCCAGGGAACAAAATCAGGCGGCGCAGTGCCACCCAATGTGATGGCGGCGGAGAACAAAACATATCGAATAGGAGGACTAGCCATTACAGGTGGGTCTATTACATGCTCTCTTGTCAGGGGTGGGTGTACTTTGTACGGATCGGGCGGGATGGCACGAAGGTTACAATGCCAAATTTCCAGACATGTGCCGGGGTTTGATTGGTCTGACGGAGGTTTAGAAAATGCTTGACGTTCACTCCACAGGACCACAAATCCTGTACTACACCATAAGAATACGGGTCTTGGCACCCTATGCGGTCGTCTATTTATGTTTTATTATTCTAGTTTTTTGTGCCAAGACGCCACGTACCCAATACCTGTGCGCAACATGAATACAACAGTTGGTCCTGAAAATATATCGCACACCCCGTGCGATGACTCCGACCCGTGCGATTCTGAAAAAATGGAAAGAGGCGATGTGTGGTGTTTGGAACGCGCACCCCCGTGCCAAGACTCCGATGTGTGCGATCCTGAGCAAATCACAGCAGACACAAACCAGTATTCGTGTGCATGTGCAGTATTGCACCATCAGGACCACAACATAACGACCGCAGACACAGAAGCGCACCAGGACCAGTTGGTTGGTAGGTTGGCGCTGGAACGTTTTGGTTGCAGCGGGGTATTGGCAGGTGTGGAGAATGTTGTTTCGTGCACGTGGCGCTGTCCTTCTATTATAGTTGGCATGCATGGAGGACGAAACATTTTGGGGTTTATTTCCGGGAGCAGGGTGAGTTCGAGTGAAAACTCGAGGTGTGTGGTGTAGTGCGTAGTGAACGTTCCGGTGCGGGGCGCAGCGCTGCATCCCCGATCTACACCGCCTTGTTGTGCCTCAGTCGCACATGTACCGTCGTGGGCAGCAAAGCCAACATATTCATCATCCATCTTGTTGTCCCCAACTCCGCGGGGATTACGGTGGTTTCTTCCCAACACCCAGAACATTTCCATACCAAACGCGTATACCGACTGTCGGTGGGATACATCATTGAATACTTGCAGTAGTTGCCTCGACGGTAACAATATTGATCAACGGAATGATCTGGCAGCCGTAGGCTTGAGAAATTGCACGCGATCGTTCAAAGGCATCCCGGACGTTCCAAGCCTTCGCTAAACATGAACCATACGTCGGGGTACGTTGGGGGCTTCACCGCATGCATTAATGCTTCTCTTACTTGCGTCGATTCTACAGTACATCAACTTACGTGACACTTCTCGGACACATCACTAGACGAGCACCAGGCTAATGCCTTTTATCGCGCCTGTCTGTGCCCACAACGCGACAATCGCATTGCTGTTGAATGTCGGCATATTGCTCTGTTTCCAGGGACTGAGGCGTTTCTCGAGTCCTTCGAGCCGACGTTCAGCGCCTACCTGAACCAGACCGTTGGCGAAGTATACCCAGGTGTGGGCTTCATTGCCGTCCCTCTGGCCTTCGACGACGTTTGGGATGCCGTCTCGTCTGCGAGCGTCGACTTCTTGTTTCTAAACCCCGGATCTGCAAGCTGCATGGAAAGGTAACACGCGTTGTCTATCCCCGTTTCAAGAAGCGAAACCGCAAGGTAGAAATTGGCTCTCTCTCTCTCTCTCTCCCTCCCTCCCTGGCACCCCCTTTCCTTCCGCCTAAACGTCTCCCGTTTTCTGTCTCTTTGTCTCTCTGTCTCTGCCATTTTCCTGCTTACCCGACAACCCTCTGTGATATTCTTCAGCGAGTTTGGGGTCAGTGCCATCCTCTCGCTGAGAAACTTTCGCCAAGGGAACGAGCTGAACTTGTTTGGAGGGGTGGTCATCACGGCTGCAAACCGAAGCGATATCACAGAAGTCGCGCACTTGCAGGTCAGGCCAAACATGATATGACCGACCGCATTTCTTGCTCGGTGGCATAATAGTGCCAAGACCTTTTCATCAACTTGTAGGTGCAAGAGTTACGCTAGTCCTTGGAAGGAAGCCCGCCATCTCCCTTCAGCTATTGCCGAGTTTATTTTCGTTTCTCTGGGGGGAACGGGGTCCAACTCGCACACCAGTTTTTCGCATCGCGCACGTGCTGGCCCCGCCCACATGCGTTAGAGGCAAAGCTCAAACAACCTCGCAAACGAGCCACGCCAAAAAAAAACGATTCCGTCGATCCAAGGCGCATATTGCCCTGACAGCAACGTGAACCGCGCAAACACGCAGGACAAAGTTGTCGAGGGCGTGTCGGTGTCAGGTTTGGGGGCGTTTCAGCTCCAGTGGGGGCTGCTCCAAGATCAGGGGTTTAACCTCATGGCGGACACTGAGGAGGTTCGATTTGCGTACAACCAAAAAAAGGTGAGGTACGCTGCTGCTGTTGCTCGTTGTGATATCTGTTGGTGGTGTTCTTCATGTTGTTGCGACTGCTGAAATCTCGCTTCCAACCTTGCTTTTCCACCCTCACGCGTCGAGTTCAAGTAGTTGGACCATGAGCCTTTCTTTCGAGAAGCTCCAAAGTCTGGATCGCTTCTGCGCAAGACCGACGCGGGCTCTGACGGCAGGGCAATCTGATTTCGACATGAATGTGGGTGTAGGTATGGACCGGAACCGACTGTAGCTTCAAGACCAACATAGGTTCCGTGCGTGTTTCTTATCTACGTCTCGCAGATTGTCTACGACGTCATCAACGAAAACGTGGATGTCGGTTTCGTTCGAACCGACATGGTCGAGCGCATGGACGCTGCAGGTGAGATACGCTGACAACGACGATGTGAGTGTCCTTTGTGCCACCGAATTAAGCTGATACCAGCGGCGATGTCGTGTTTTAATGATCGCGGCAACGTTTCCAGCACCCACAACCAGGACCCCAGGCCCTTTCCAACCGCAACCGCAAACCTAGAGTGAGCAAACCATACAATTTCGATGGAAATTGATGTTTGATCGGGCTCCGTCCCCACCATTCTTGGGGTTTCTAAATCGCCTGCGATGTACATGCCTCTCAACGTTACCAGCTTCCGACGCAATGTCTGCACAGAAGAACACGTTTCGGACATGTCTGTCGGGTGTCGAAGTCAAGAGAAAGACCAATCACCCCCGCTCCCTTCCTACGCCTTGCGAAGCCTCTGTCTTTCCTCGGCAAGTAGACAGATGTTTAGGCCCACGTGAGAGCTACGATCGTAATATTCCTGTCCGAACAGGCATTCCTTGATCGCTGCTGACCTGTAGGACTTGTTTTAACGGAAAACGAAATCTTAGGGAGAAACATGTCCAAAATTGAACTCCAGTCGCGTTCGCCGCCGGGTCTTGTGGCATTTTCAGAGTACGCCTGCTTCGTTCTCCACCACCGCGTCACCCCCACGCTTGAATCATTGACGTCACCCGGCGAATCAGCACCGATCTTACGTCCACCTTTGTTCTCTATGTGTGTGCCTGTTTTCACTGAACGCAATGTGTGTGAAAGGGGAAGTCAATATTTCGGATGTCAACTTTATTCTCGTCCGGGAGGACATCGCTGCCAGCGGGTTTCCTTTCCCGTGTTCCACAGGTAGGGGCCCCGCCTCGCGGTTTTTGCGCTGCCCCCCTCACAGTTATCTGAAATGCCGAGACTTCGAGCAGTCCATAGTCATGGGGAAAACTTGGTGCTTGGGTTCTGGTGTGGCGTTCTTGAGTTGCAAGCAAGGCTGTTCCTCTTGGTCTAACTAATCAAATTTCCATACCATGGTACACTTTTGCAATATCGATGAAACAATAAACAACGTATGTAGAAGTTCGCGAAAACACGACGAACTTTCGGAGCTTAATGGGGTGGAGGATTCGTTTCAATTCTCGAATAGAACATTGGCTTGGGTATGTTTTCCGCATCCGGCAACCTCGGGCGGAAGTTTGGATTTTGCCGAGGTCGCATTCTGGACGGCATGCGAACGGTGCGAATTTGAACCGAACGATGTTCGAGATTCATAATGAGCATTCTGTGTTCTATCTTCTGAGATTCTGTACTCATTTGTTTTGCTCTCCCGTAATGGATATATGATCGATCTTGGCGGGGCATGTTGTTTCTGGCGCACTCGAGATAAGTACCTTGCTTCGGTTCGCCTATGTGCTCGCGGTCCGCCTCTGTTCATGAACCATTAGCAAGGGGAAAATGAGGTAGGGAATAAACGGCAAGCTCCCCTTCTCATAATCAAGGCAGTGTTGCAGCAGCAGCAGTAGCAGTAGCAACCAACCACAGAGTGATAAACAACGCCAACAGCGTTCAAGGGCAGAGCGGTCCGTCATCGCTCCCCGTCCCCTTGTTGTTGTCAAGCAGCCACCGAAATCGTCCAAAAACGTGTTGCTGTAGATTCGATTCCAGGAATCGCGTCACCCGTACCGTGTTCACCGCCCCCACAAAAACTCGCGCTCTTCTCTTGCACTTCCCTGCATGCGTATGTATCCCGAGCGACAGATTTGGTGCCAGAATGGCCTTTACAGGCGTTATCCCACGTCCCGTCGGACCTTGCCAAGGAAGTGGTGGGTGCCCTTCTGCTGATCAACGAGACCCACGAGGCAGCCGTGTCCGGCGGGTACTCCACGTGGGATGTGCCTCTCTCTTACGCCGACCTCAGGTTAGTCTAAAGTCCAAGGAAATGGCCACGAGGTCCCTTGCGATAAACTCTCATGGATACGGGGGAATGGGATGAAGAGACCACTTAGAAACACACCGACCGGAGCAAGTGTTCTAAACTTTTCCTCGCCCGTGCCTTTCGTCGTGTTGTCCGCAACCTCCTCCGCGCAGTAGAACACAGCCTGTGGCGGATGCCCCGACTTGTTTTTTGCTGATCCCTGACGCCATGTCCCGCCCCCCGCTGTCGGTTTCGTCGTATCTCAATTGCATCTGCACCGTTCGGCACACCCTCTTTCCTGAGTTCACTGCTTCCCTATTTTCAATACAAACAACGCTTTTCGCACATGAGCTTGTTTCTCGAACCCGGGATCATGTGTAGAGAATGCCCGTCTTCGATGTAGCTGATTTTGATCAAACTTCACCTACCCGTCTTTCACCCTATGATGAGAAAAGGGAATGAACTTCGTTGTCATTCATCCTAACGAGAACGACAGCAGGGTACCCAATTATCGTGTTTTATGCGGTGCGTGTGCTGGGAGGATTTTGGGCCCAACCTGGCGGGATATTTGATCGTATGTGTATATTCAGGGGACGTTGGGATGCTATCTTTGGACTAGAGGGAGGGTAGACACTGGATTTTCATCCCCCGCGAGGTTCCCTAGTCAAGCTCATATTATTAAACACCCGAGAAACAAGCAAGGTTAGCGTAGGTTGTGCGCCCTGGATTGCCTTCCGTGAGCTCCCTTGGGAGAATCGTCAGAGGGGCCGGGAAATTCGTCGAGGCATGTGCAACCGTTTCTCAATTTGGAAACAGGGTTGATTTTGCGCCAAGTTCCATGGGGTACCACACTCGCAATTCACACATACCGACACGATAGTCTTTTCGAGGTTTTCACTGGTGGCAATTTTTGATGGATTTCTTTGAACAGCAGTGGTTGCTGTTGCCTTGCTCGCTTTGGCAGACTGAACAAACGTTGGTGGCGTTTCCTGCAGGCAGGGGTCCTCACGACCAGAACCCCCTCTGACAATCTCTCCTGGAGTTGCAGCTCCCACCGCTGTTACCTGTTAATCCTTCCTTACAACTTGGTCCAGTTCCCCATACATGTACGCAAATCCCCAAACAACGGCGTATACCCGTTTCCGTCAACGTTTCCACCCGTCGCTGGCCTCCACTCACCCTGACCGACTGCTACCCGCCGCCTCGATTCATGTGTGCCGTACCTTTCACGAAGTGCTCTACTATTGCAACTCGGGGTGCTGGATTCCGAACAAGGACATTGCATCCAGTCCGAGAACGTGTACGGGGCTGTAGTGTGCCCGGAAGGGTTTTTCAAGATCGCCGAGAATTTGTTCGACTCCAAGTGCACGGAACTCGGTAGTAAGTACGCCTTAGCACACCCCTAAGTTCGGAAGCGTCCTGCATCGCTTAGCCTATATGTTCTTGATGGGTTGACAGTTTGTGTAGACTAAACTTTACACATTTATTTTCTCGGGATGATGCCATTCGCTACCCAGCGTGTCATCAATATGTTACCCCCATGGTCTGACGCGATAGTTTTGGTCTGAAAGTTCTATTTTAGGTTCCGGACCATGCTGGCGTCGGTGGTTGTGTACAAGGGAGACAGCGGGATACCGGAGCTCGACGAAACAAGTCGCGATTTGAGACATGCGTGAAGAAGATGACAACTTTCTTTAGGTTACCGTTTTGTAAGCCGACGCCTGTATCTGATGCGTTGGTTCCTTCCCAATAACCGAAATTCCTTAAGCTAACGCACCTAATTCTTTCTGTGACGTGTGTTTCTCATCATTCCGTCGATGGTGTGTCCCGAAACGCGGGCATGGGTTCTGGTGTGGATTGGGGACGACGACTATAAACACCGTAAATGCCTCACCCTTTTCAACTTTCCCGTCAGTTCTGTGTCTCCCACCAGCAGCCTATTATTTGAGTGTGTTGAACGCACGATCACCTCTTTTGGCGAGCGACAAAATATCGCGCTGCATGTACCAACTATGTACGCGACGAACATACTAATTGACAATAGAGAAATCGCAATTATAGCCCAATCGGACCTGGCGAGGTTTTCCCTCTTCGCTACAGCCCCTCTCCACCAACTGTGCTAGACAACAAAACGTGTGCAACAACGGTCGCGACTCAACCGCCCTCAACGAAACCAACGTGTATCGCATTCCTCGTTTTTCTCTCGAACAAGCAGGAACGTGCCCCGACGGTTACACCTGTATCTGCCGCCCCTGCGAGCCACTGCCGGAAACGGAGTTCTCGTACAGCCTCAATGTCTCTAGACAGTCTGTGGGCACGGGAGACTGCCAAAAAATGACCTCGTGCGCGGAAGGGGTGGTTGCTTTCTCAAACCTGACAGTCGGTGTGGTGGACAATTGGGGACCGGCGAGAGAGGTACTGTTGTTTTGAGGTGGACGCCGTTTTCCTGCACTTACGAGTCTTGTTCGTCTATCATCCGTGACACGCTTGTTGTAGATTTTCCTTAACTTTGTTGTTCATCATGGAGAGACCTCATTGACGCGGGCGAGCACTTGCATTTTTCTCGAGTTCCTGTTGACTCTCCAACATCCGGATACGCATGAACATTGCTATCTAACTTCTTGTCCTGCCAAGTAAACAGCAAGCCCCCGATGATTGGGCCTGATTTGTAGTATTCACCTGCCGTCACGATTTTCCCTCCCACATCCCCGCAGACGTTAGGCCTCAACCGCTCCGACACTCTGGAAGTTCACGTGATCACCGCCGGTGACCAGACGTCGTGCTACGCCGTCGAGCACGGACCCTTTCCGTGTGCAGAAAGCTCTGTCCATGGAGGCTCGGGGGCACCGTCACTGACCACTACTCAGACAGGTTGGTCTATTGGTCTCCTTACCTTGTGTTTGGAAGCTAATGTCGACAGCCCGGGATGTATGCTTGCGTTGTCGATCGAAGCAACTCTCCACCAACGAGAATCATGGCACAACGAAACCGCTGTTGTGGTGCTCACCCAACAACCGTCCTTAAAGATTGTGGTGCTACGCGTGTTGGGCCATTGAATCGGGGCGCACTGGTCGCTGTCTTCTTTCTACGTTGTGGGAATGGATAAACGTTGTGCAACCGTCCAAGGAGAAACTGGAGCGGGGGGAGGAGGAGGAGAATTCGGCCAAGAACCGAAATATTTTTGTATTCGCTCTCCTTCAACGTTAAACATGCCAGGGTGGGACTATGAGGTTCCGGTCTTCGTTGAGACACCGGGGAGCACCTTGCTAAGGTTTATCGTGGACGGAAGGGACAGCGAGGGATCGCCCACCCTTATGGGCGTGGTAGAACCCAGGTATCCGTGGAACGTTTTGTACATGTGTATTTTTCTATGCGACCTCCATGAGCCTTTGTGGTCCTTAGTAGATCAGATTGATAGCATACGGCGGGGGAGAATGAGAGTGACAGTCGCGTTCTTGCGCAATTCAAAAACCCCGGCGAGTGTGCTACCCACGCTGATCCGTAGACCTAGCCGGTTCATGCCATGTGGTTACGCCGGCCCTGTCAACAATGGCAAACAAATGAGGGGAACTTACGTTCGAAATGAAACCGAACGCCGTAGGGAAAGAGTTGGGGTGATCATTGGGATGGTCTTCGGTAAGCACAACGGTCACAACAGCTCGAAACTTGAAGACGTCTGGGCGGGCGGAAAATCATGCCCAAAAAGCAGGGAAATGACTTAGGACTCTTCATACTCCAAGGTGGTGTTCAAACCCTCCGTTTTAGTTGTCGGACAACTTCCTCCTACATAGAGCTGGGGGGGTACCGCAACAATGTATTTCCCTACCCGCTCGTGGGGGAGACTACCACCAAGCCAGGCCGTCCAAGAGATACAGCAAAGTTTCTACGAAAATTGATTTTTCGCATCACGAACAGAAAATTACAGCATCCACTCTTCGCCTTCCCCCACCCCACTCGCCGATCACCCAGTTGCGGGGATTGGGTGTACGAGTCGCACGTTGGCAGCTGCAACAACAATGCTTCGCGATCGGTAGTTTTTTCCTTCGCTGAAATATCCCGCGAGTGCGAGCATTTCGTCGACCTCCCGGACAACTTCTATGGCATGGTGAGGACGTGTGTCTCGCTTAATTTGTCGAAGAAGTACCACGTACGTTGGGTTGCCTATTGCGTGTGAGTGATGCCGGACGTTATTCAACCACTACTGTAGACTTCTCGGACCACACCCGCAGAAGCGCCGCGTGCGAAGGAATACAATAGAGAAGCGGACTGCGTTCTACGCCTATGGGCGACCAACCAAGCAGCTATAGATAGCACCACATATATGACCTCGCTACTGGCACCGTGCCCACCATTCTCGGGGATCTTGGTCGACAGACGAAATAGCCGTTAGCGACAAAACGGGACAAAGAGATGCGTTTAAATCGCCTCAGAGAATGGGGAGCGGCAACAATGGAATAATAGTGGAGCAGATTTGAAAGGCGGGGATGAAATAATAGTAGCTTCACGCAAGGGTTGATAGCTTCCAACGTGCCCAAGGGCACCACACACACACGCGCAAGCACGAAGCAGAATGAAGAAGTGCCAACACATGGTGTATCCACGCATGGCCCTGCTGGAGCCCGCGTACGTGTTTCGCGTTTCGCGTCCGTTTTCGAAGAACCAAGCTAACGATCTCCACAACGGTCCAACAACGGTTAGGATGCAACGTTGACCTACCTTTCTCCTATCCCCGCCACGTTCCTTCTATTCGCCCCTCCAAGTTCTTACAGCATGCTCCTCCTCTCCTTCGTGCTGACTACCCCCTACCCTATCCCCCTCAACTATGTACACCGTCTTGCCGGGTTAGGAGTGCGACTATGCTCCGTGGGGATCTATGGCTGGGATCGTGGCTATCACAATGAGCAGCCTGATTGCCGCGGTGGCGGTGGCACTTACCGCGTGGACCATAATTTACCGGTGAGCGAGATTAATAACCCTCTACATGGAGCGCAACTAGGGCTGGGCATTTTGCATGCATGAGACTGTTGGTTCTCCTCCATGGTTGCCAGCAGTACCCCTGGAGATGATTACAGAAACAGTACAGTAGAGCTCCTTGGAACAGTGTGGGATTTCGACGATCACGGGACGTAGACGAATGATAGTGTGTAGTTGCCGCGTGATGCACTTTGATTTGATGAATGGTGTTGTACGAGATGGTTTACACCACGCTGTGAAGCAGGAGCGTACTATTAGCAGGAATCGACTGGAGTGTCGGCTAGGAAGGCGAACGAAGGTCTTGCGAAGACTGCACAGTTGGGGAGCTCGTGATTCAACCACCGAATGAAGTCGGCGTTGTGACTAGACTCGTTTTTCAAAGCACTACATGATTTGTGGCCACGCCCATTTGCATTTTCGCAGCTCAGGCATTCCGAACGATGAGGTTTAGGCCTCGACCTGGACAAACTACAGCGCGCTGGATCTGTGTCTACAGGAAAACAATCCGATACACACGCATCAATTTATTTGCGGACCCTTCGGGTCCACTATATTTTCGTGCACCCTTTTAGGGGAAGTTCGCCTGTGACCACGGAAATCGACCGCGTCAAGTGTTGGACTAGGACGGACAGAAGAAGGTTCTGGGCAGCGAGAGCGGAACGTTTTTAGTGTGAAAACAACAACAACAACAGCAACCACAACAACAACGACAACAACCTCTCGACACCATTCTTGAATCTTGAACTCGGCAGTAAAGCGAGGCCGATCGTTGCTGCGCAGTGGATCTTCTGCGTGGTGTTCAGCACGAATATCGCCTTGATGACGCTTGGGGCGGGGTCGTTGGTGGGGCCTCCATCGGACTTCACTTGCACGGCCCAGCCCATCCTGGTAAGGAAGTATTGCAAATCTCGCCACCCATTGACCGTTATATTCTTCTTCTTACCAGACGAACGGGTCCATCTTTGTTCCTTGCACGATACGTTAGTTCGATAACCCGCCCAATACAGTGTAGGCGACATACTCCTTCATTGAATACCACACATAACCACCGGTTTTCAAGCCTGTCATGTGCCACGAGTCATCTAGTGTCTTCAACACTACAGACGAACACCGCGTTGCTGTTGATGTCGTTCGCTGTGTTCCCAATGGAACCGGTCGCTCCTCCTCATGCTGACGGAGACATGGTTCTGATGGAGACGAGACCTCGGAGTCAAAGAGGTCCTGTCGGACAGAGACAGACAGACTTAAAAGGCAAACGTTCGGCACCTATGGCGATGATCACATCGCGGCAGACGGCCACAGTTGTAAAGTTCGACGGGCTCTTGCGTGCCCTCTCCTCGTGCCGTGATTCGGCCGTGCCTTCTCCCTACGTTTCTCTGGATCGCCGCCAATCAATATACTTTGCCATTGATGTCGCTTTCGGCGGCCCGCAGTACTTCATGGGATCCGGCACGGCAATATCGTCCCTGTTTCTCAAGATGTGGAGGGTGTTAGTGGTTTGGAAGGCCGGGTTGAAGAGGATCCGGATTAAGAACGCCGAGCTGTTCAGGTGATGATACCAACTATCGCGCGTACTGGGAAATTGGATTGCCTAGGCGAATGTACGGATTGCCCAATCGAAGTAAGTTGAATTGGAAAAAACAAACCGGCAGGGGGAAAGCAGACCCTAACCGTAACCCCTACTCCGACTTGGCCGATTAACCTTTTATCCAGAGTGTTGCTTGCTTACTTGGGAAAACCTGCATAGATTTTGTGGAACGATTTCATGCTCGGTTGCGAAGGGCCTGTCACGGGAGTCAAAGGATGCCCGGGAGAGAAAAGAACGCCACCATCCACAACCTGAAATGCCCTGCGAATAGTTCTTTCGGAGTCACGAACTGCCAGCTCGTTTCGTCGACTTTCGGCTGCCGCTGTTCTGAGGACCTGGGCGTTGGGGTAGCGCAGGCAAACACTCCAGGGGCGAAGAGGGCGTAGGAAGAGCCCACATACTAGGGATATTGTAGCTTCATGGAGAGCCGTGGGCCTCCCTACTTCCTTCAGAGTACGACATAACCTTGGGTCCAACCTGACAGCTGTCTCACGGATATCGGCAGGTACCTCGCGATATTTTGCACCGTGGATGTTGCTCTTCTGACGGCGATGTTCATCGTCCACCGCCCGCGCGCCAGCGTTGCATCTGTGGCCGAACAAGTTTCCGGCGTTCCGGTTAGCGTCGAACACATCGCTTGCGACTACGGAGAGCTTCATTTTGTCACCCAAGCGCTCAACATTTACCATGCTCTTATAGCCGTCGCTGGGTGTGTGACAAGCTTCAAGGCGCGAAAAGTGGGCTCCCAGTGTAAGAGCTGCTGGAGGCACACGGCAACGATAGTACGGTATCATCTTATCAGCGACCGAATTCTAGGGTGTATCCCATGCCCTTAATTGCACAACCAAAAGCAAAAAAATGTCTTCGCTTGCTCCAGTCACAAAGCACAAAGGACTCCCAGGGTAGAGACATGCCTGTCCCGTTAGCTGGTCGACCAGGCTCGCTGCGCTCCATGGGGTCTGAAAAACCGCATGTAGTCATGACTTGCTTTCTGTCGATATCCCTTCCTCCTTGATTTCCTGCCCGGTGTTGAACAGTTGTGCATCGGAATTACCAACTATGTTGTCTTCCACGGCCTTGCCTCTCTACTTACGAAGAGCTCCGATGTCATCGAATCACTGACTGCAGATATGGAGACGCATCCGATCGCGTTTACCAT